AATTTTTGATTTATTGTAGAGATGAGGTCTCACCAAGTTGCCCAGGCGGGTCTCGAACCCGCGGGCTTAGGCAATCCACTCACCTTAGCCTCCCAAGGCGTGGTGTTACAGGCTGAGCCACCGAATCCAGCTTGTAAGTAGTTTTATAGTTAAGGAATGGCTTCTGGTTTAGAGGTTAACCCACCTTTATTGTGGACTATGGTGATATGTTTCTGATTCAGAGTCTTTATTCTGTAAATATATTTTGTTCATTTACATAATATATTTGAGAATGTCTAGAGAAATAATGAAGTAACTCTTTAAGTTTATTCGGTGTTAATTAAGATTTATAACTCTTTTCCAGTTATTTATATGTTGTCAGTGTCATCTGAAGTATTTAATGTAGCTATTTAACTTTTAGGGTGTTTGGAATAAAGTTTCTTCAATTTGGGTTGCTGATACATTTTATGAAGAATGGTTAAAAATTTATATTAGCAATCATTTTTTTTCGTGGTTTTAAAATTTAGTAATTTTTTTTTTCAGAGACCAAAAGATCTGTTCTGACCGACATCTTATTAATCCAAAAATGGACATGCCAAGAAAATTATCCAACCAAGCTCTATCAACATGTGGATACATTAAAGTAAATTCTGTCAAAGATCCTTTGTCGTGATTAATGGTCATTTTGATGAACATGTGTAATTTTTTAATCAGCAGGATCTTACAAGACAGTTAGGACTTCCAGTGGTCAATATGAGTGTAGCACCATTAGTCTGACAGTAGGCATGGGTTCTCAGTAGGTTCCTTATTTCAGGGCCCCAGTTTATTTATAAAACCAAAATCAAATTGAGTAAATGGATGAACATCGCAGGATTTTTTCAGTTATATTTTCAGAAAAAAATTATTTCCATTTGGGACTATTAAAAATAATACAGTGATTATATGACTCTCTTCAAAACATTCATGATTATTTCTTTGAAGAAAATTCTAAGATGAGAGTTGTGGAATTAAGAGTTTGTCATTTTCTTTTTAATTCTTTTTCTTAATTTCTTCATTTCCTTCTTAGTATCAAAAGTTTCTTTTTTTTACCTCTTTCCCTTAAGGTACTATTGTGTTGTGTTTCCTAGGACTGCTCTAACAGATTACCACAGAGTTGATGAATAAAACAATGCAAACCTGCTGTTTCACGCTGTGGAGGCCAGAAGTCTAAAGCCAAGGAGCAGCAGGACTGGCTTCCCTCTGAGGCCTCCAGAGGATGGCCTCTTCGGCCTCTGTTGGCTCCAGGCATTCTTGTCATGGCTTTGGCTTGCAGCCTCATCACTCTCATCTCTGCCTGTGTCCTCACATTGCCTCCTCTTCTTCTCTGTGTCCCTTCTAAAGGGCAGTTGTCACTGGGTGGAGGGCCTGTCTGGATGATCCAGAATGAGCTCATCTGGAGATAGTTAATTACATCGGTAGTGACCCTTCTTTGAAATCAGGTCATAGTCCAGTGACCTTGAATCAGGACACAGACCTACCTCTTTCTTCTGAGTTTGGGGGGGCAGGGGACCACCATTCAATCCACTGCAGTTTTCATTATTGAAGGAGTTTTTTCTTTAGCTTCGAATTCTTTCCTGAGGTTCTGTCACCTTAATTCGAAGGTGATTTTCTTATTCTGATTTGTTATTCTTTTATACATACCTCATTTTCTCTTAACATACAAACTAAAAGGCGGCTTTGAAATTGAAGGCCGGGCACGGTGGCTCATATCTATAATCCCAGCACTTTGGGAGGCCGAGGTGAGAGGATTGCCTGAGCCCAGGGGTTCGAGACCAGCCTGGGCAACTTGGTGAGACCTCATCTCTACAATAAATCAAAAAATTAGCCAGGTGTGGTGGCATGTGCCTGTAGTTTCAGCTACTTGGAAGGCTGAGACAGATGGATCGCCTGAGTCCAGCAGGTCGAGGGTGCAATGGTCATGAATATGCCATAGGTGACAGAGTGGGACTCTAACTCAAAAAAAAAGAAAAGACAATAAGACACATCTTTCTTATTGTCTCTAGAGTCTGTTATTCTATTCTTTATTCTGTTTTAAATCATTTTATATTTAATTATGATATATTTTATTATTTTTTATTTTATTATGATTTAATTATCCAATTTGACCTTGATACTTTGTTATTGCTCATTTTTAGATAAAATTTGTTTTCCTGGCTGAGTGTTGTGGTTGGGATGAGAGGATTTTGAGTCCAGCCTTACCCAGCCTGGGCCACATAGCAAGACCCTGTCTGTACAAAAATGAGTAATAATAAATAAATATTAAAATTTGTTTTTCTTAAATTTTAGAAGGACTTATGGGTCAGGATAACTTTTCTGATTGACAGAGTTCCCATTTCTGTTGTTTCCATGTTAGGTTAAAAGAATAAATATGGTGACACAATGTCTGAAATTTCCTTGCTCTGTTCCCCTTCCCCAACTTTCTCTGATCCTTCTCTTTCTTCCTCTCTCTTGTCCCTGGAGGGGCAGTGGGGAGATTTCATATGCGTTCCACCCTTCTCCTGCTGCTGGAGCAGGTGAAAGCCTTCTGGGTTTAGCTTCCCTTGTCACATTGGCCCACCATGTTTCCAGTGAATGACTGCTGCCTCTTTTGGGGCTCTCTTCTGTTCAAAGATCTGTCAGACCTGCTGCTTCCAGAACAGACATAGACACCGGTACCATACAGGACTTGTCAGCACTGTCCCAAGTGACTTCTTCTCGCTCCTGGCATCTTCTTGGGGCAGCCAGGGCTCCCTGCCTTAATGAAGGTTGTTCTCATCCATTGCATGCTGACATTCCCCCTCGCACACCGATCACACTGCGCACTATTACCTGAGAAGAGCTGTTGTCTTGACCACACGGACCTGTGGCATGTCTGTCCATGCCTGGGCTGCTGAGGGTCCCTGGAGGACACGACTTCATATCTGTATCCCTGGTGGTTGGTATACAGTAGGCTTTTAATAAATGCTTCTTGTTACATAAAAAAAGATCAGAAGGGGTTCAAGAGAAGTGATGCTATCCCAAGAATTTTTATTAAAGTACGATTAAAAAGTAAAGGAATATTTGAATACTTGTACCTAATAATGAAGTTTCAAAATAATGAAATTGATTTTAAAATCTTTCGATTTAAAGTGAAACTATATTTGTGAATGTGGGAGTGTGTATTTTGTTTTGGTTTGTTTTGGTCAGCTTCGCATTGTATCTTAAGTCCCTGTTTGTATGCATTGGGTTCTTCAGGTGTTGACTTCTGCAGATACAGGCAGTGTGTACATCTTTGGTTTAGACTAAGTTTGTTTCTTGGACGTGTTTATGTGTTTCAGATAATACCTTTTTATATTTTGAATGCAACAAATTACTTTGGTCGTATAATTGATAATAATGTGGATCTTTATGCAACTCTTAATGATGAAATGAATGAATATTTCAAGGATTCGAGTAATAAAACAGCAGTCAAGAAGGTAGAGAAATTTGGATTGTATGGATTAGCAGAAAAAACATGTTTTCACAGGTAAAATTTCTGTTTATTTCATCTCAAAAGTTGTGAAGCATTTAAATGGTATTGAATTTCTGTCTTTACCTCTCTCTTTGTGCATAAACTTGACTGCCTCCTGGGAAGGTGGTGCTAACATGGTGTGCCCCTAGGTCCTGGAGACCTCCACCCTGGGCTCCTGAACACAGAGCACAGTGACAGTGTCACTGCATTTGTTGAACCGACACTGTGTACAATATGCACATACATCCTTTTTTTTTTTTTAAACTGGATGATTTATTGAGAGAACAGAAAAGCTTCCACAGTGGGAGGTGACCCCAGGGGGTTGCCACACACATACATCTTTAACTCACTTAATTCTTGTCAAGTTCCTTTAAAATGATCCTTGCCCCATTTTACAGGTGGGCAAACTGAGCCTTGGTGATGTTAAGTTGTGTAAGATTGGCTCAATAAATGGTATAGTTGTTGTGTAACTCGGTCAGTCTGAGTCATGTGCTTGTTTGCACTCAACACTTCCCTTGAATTTGCACCTGGTTTAGCCCCTTGGTGATAGCCTTGATTCAGAAACTTGGAAACTGCAATTTGCTATGTTGATTTTTATTACATTGTTAGATAAAGGGATTTATTTTATTCAAGAATACTACATGTTTATGCACTTACGTATACTTTTTTTTTAGAGACAGACAGAGTCTTACTCTGTTGTCTAGGCTGGAGTACAGTGGCATGATCATAACTCACTGTAACCCCAAATTCCTGAGCTCAGGCAATCCTCCCATCTCAGCCTCCCAAGTACCTAGGAATACAGGCACACACTACCATGCCTGACTAAATGCTTTATTTTTTTTGTAGAGATGGTGTCTTGCTCTGTTGCTCAAGCTGGTCTCAATCTCCTGGCTTCACAAAGTGCTGGGATTAGAGTCATGAGCCACGACACCCAGCATTGTGTGTGCCTTCAATAATCCACCACTGAGTGCTCATGAAGTCCTTAGTTTTTTTATTTCTAGTGTAAAGTAAAATGGTGTGGTTTACTTTAGAAGTCTTTGTATGACTTCCATTTAATGGTTAGTTGAGGCAGAGATGGTTTCCTTTTAGGAATCTGTGGTAACTGATGCCACCGTTGTTCTCCAGGGTTCAAGTGTTGGAGATGAGCCCTAAAGAAGACCCATGGGCCCTGGATGCTGTCCTTGTGAAGTTCATCGATGAAGGCAGGACCGAGCTCATCACAGGAGACCGGCTGTTACACCTCCCAGAACATTTCCACACACTTCCTCCCCAGGCTGTGGAGTTTATTGTTTGTAGAGTGAAGCCTGCTGACAATGAAATGGAATGGAATCCAAAGGTGAGTAATTTTGTATTTTCATAAGTTGTTGATTTTTAGAATATATTCAACCCAGAATAGACACAGAATTAAGGCTTGTCTGCATTTAGATTATTGAGTTTGGGCAAAGTGCTTCATATTCCTAGGCAGTTAATGTGCCATCTGCATAGGTTCCTGCTGGTGCAGGATGTGCTAATTGCCACTGTGCATGGAACCCAGCTGTAGACCTCAGAGAGGTGCTGGGTTTCCTTGACACTGTTGCCATTATCATTAGCACAGCACAGTGGTAGAGATGTATAATACAGGAATCGTGGAAAAATAAATACCTATCAGCATAAGCAGAAAAAAACAGTGTAATCACCTATAAGGATTACGCTATAGGTGATGAACACTCTCTGGAGAAGCCAGGCAATTTCACTGAGGTTGAGAATATGGAAAGAAGGCGTGATGGAGGCCAGAAAAGCTTCCAAAAGAAGGGACGGTTCCTCTGGGCTTTGTGGGGTAACAAAAATGTCGCCAAAGAGAACGAACAGGACACTGACAGCAAAGCAAAGTACCCATACTGAGGCAGGGGGCACAGAGTACGGTCCTGTGTGTACTCATGTGGCTGTCCAAGGTAAAGTGGAAAGGCTCAACCCTGCCGGCCGAGTAAGAGGTCTCACAATCAGTTCTGCTCGTCACTGGAGTATGCGTTGTGTTCTTAATGATGCTCTTGGTTCTCCAAAAAGTTTTATGTTTTGCATAATATGGTAAATTGGATATACAATAAGCTAATGCAGTCAGCAAAGTAAAACAGGATCAAATGAACTCCATGGAATATTTTGCAAATATTCCAAATAACATACCAAAAGAATAAGACATGCTATTAAAGCTTCAGATAAATAACTTAAGTGCTTTTTTTTTAGGTTACTAGATACATTCATCATAAAATTATTGGGAAATTACATGATGCAAAAGTGATATTGACTTTGGGAAATACAGTTTGGATTGATCCAATGGTAAGTATACAGTCTTCTTAAAAATAAATCTCTGTTCAAATGGGCTGCTGAAATTATCCAAATTATTCTAGCCTGTTGCTTGATTAACTGTTTCACAGAAAAAAGAGACTTATTTGGGGTTATGTGTTAGGGAGAGGTACTTTTCATATTATTTGGGTCATGAATTTGCCTGTGGGTTTAGTTTTGTTTAGGGGAATATTTTACATTGTAACTAGCACACACATGTACTTGTGGATGTGATGTGCATGTACTCACACAGTTGAATAAAAGTTTCATAAGACTCCTTATTACATATGACATTCTCTGATATTTACAGTTCAATTCTATTTCACTTTTTCAAGTGTTGATTGTGAACTGCTCAATTGATTTCACAGTCCACTGTCTTGAGAGGCCTGGGTCAGTGATTGCTGCAATAGCCCCATCTTTTCTAGTGTGTAAATGACCCTAAAGATCTGAGACATGATCGGTAGTGATGAGGATTCTAGTCTTTGGGCATTCAAACTTAGGTTTCATCATGTCCACAGTTTCTGCCTTGTTCATTCACTATGTATTTGCTGAGCACCTGCTGTGTGCTAGGATCAGTACTGGGCACTAGGGTTCCGTCTGTGAACCAAGCAGATGAAGAAGCCCCTTGGCCTGTGGAGATGAGGTGGCGGCAGGGCTGGGTTGAGGGTAAGGCAAGACACATGATTCATGGGGCTCTATGTCTCTCCGTGGCTGCTGGTATCACCCCTCTCTGTTTGCACTCCAAGTTTTCATTTCAAAGCTTTCCTGTATTAGACTTAAATCTTAATTATTAGGATTATTTGTAGGACTTAAAGGAATTCAGTTTATAAAGCTGTTTTGCTAAAAAGTTTTTGTAAGGTTAGAAAAGCTTTGACATGTTAAGAGAGGAGCTAGGGAATAAGATTTAAGAGGAAGCCGGGCTCGGTGGCTCAGCCTGTAATCCCACGCCTTTGGGAGGCTGAGGGGAGTGGATTGCCTGAGCCCCACCTGGGCAGCAAGCCTCACCTGGGTTCGAGACCCACCTGGGCAGCAAGACCTCATCTCTACAATAAATAAAAAAATCAGCCGGGCGTGGTAGCGCATGCCTGTAATTCCGGCTACTTGGAAGGCTGAGGCGGAAGGATCGCCGGAGCCCAGCAGGTGGAGGCTGCGATGGCCAGGAGCAGCCACTGCACTCCAGTCTGGGCGACAGAGTGAGAACCCGACTCAAAAAAAAAAAAAAAAAAGAGTAAGAGGAAAGAGAAGAGATGGGAAAGGACACAGTGATACAGAGAAGCAGGCAATGTAAAGACAGAGGCAGAGACTGGAATTAAGCTTCTACAAGCCAAGGGAGCTAGACATTGCTGGCGACCAACAGAAGTTAGAGGAGAGGCAAGGAATGGATTCACTTTCAGAGCCTCTGGAAGGAACCAGCTGCTGACATCTTGATTTCAGATGTTGAACTGTGAGAAAATAAATTTCTGTTGTATTAAGCCACCAAGTTTGTGCTGATTTGTTATGGCACCCTAGAAAACATATACAGAAGGAGATGAGAAATTTGGTGTTGATGGGAAAACAGGAGTTTGATTTTGTACATATGAATTTGTGATGTTTATTACACATCTAAGATGTCAACTTGGTGAAGTTCGTTTCTAAGAGTGAACTAACTTGCTAAGAGTCTGGAATTCAAAGGTGGAATCTGGGCCAGATATAATTATTGTGAACCATTTGAGAATTGTTGATACTTAAAGTTGTTGATGAATGAAACCACCTGTGGAATGAGTGTAATTGTGTAGAAAATTGGTAGGAGTAACTGAGTCAGTAGGCACTCCAAGACCTAGAATTTAAAGAACTGAGGAACCACCAAGGAGAGTGAGAAGGAATAAAAGCCAAGTGGAGAGCATTTCAGGCGGAAGATCCTGTGCCAGATGTTAAGAGGCCAAGTAAGATAAATAAAGGTACTTGAAGCCTGAGTTTAGTGTGTGGAAATCACTGCTGACTTTTTCAGCAGCTGTTTTAATGGAGTGTGGGCTAACAAGTCCTTAATTGGCTTGGATTTCAAAGAAAATGAACAAGAGTCAATTGGAAGTTCAATTTTTGAAGTTTGGTAAGTTTGAGAGTTTGTTTGGAAATAGAAGCAGGAAAATGGGACAGGTGCTTAACGTGGATGCAGGTTCAAATCATATAAGATTTAAATGTCCTAGTTCACAGTAATAAAAATAAATATCTGCTCTGCTAAAACACTGAATCCATCCTACTATGTAAACAGTTACCCATATATTTCCTGGGAAATTTACCTGTTGACTTAATTGCAATAGATTTAAATATGAATAAATAATATAACCATATATTTTCAATTTTGTCCCTTTAAATAAATACATTAAAGCTATATGTGAAAGTGGAAAATATGAGAAAAAGAGTAGGAGAAGAAAATTGTTTTAGAAGAGAAAAAAATAGATTACCAGTGCGGGTAAGTGAAAAGACTTAGAGGATCTTTGTTGATATTGTAGTTGTTCTTTTTTTTTTTTTTTTCAGTTGAAGTCTCACTCTG